CATTCGTACCTAGTGTGTGTGTGTGTGCATTTTTTGTTTTTTATTTCCTCAGCTAAAGAAAGACTTCCTCAGATTCGGCAGACAAAAATTGTATTATTTTATTGTTAACTATGCAGAATGTGCAAATATTCAGGCCCAAGCTTAGGTGGATATTGAGCATTTTGATTAACCCTGTGAGGATCAGAAATAACTCATAACTCCTAACACTATGTTTTGCTGGAAAATAACCTAACAAATTTCAGGGGGAGGAAAAATGTAAATAGCTTTAGATTCTTGTGAGCTAGAATGTTTAGGGTTTTTGTTTTTGTTTTTTTTGTCCCCTAATTGCTGAGACATGGGAGAACAATTTTCGTAAGCCAAATACTAATAACATAGGGTCCCGGGTTTCTTGCACTTCTCACAAGGATAGATACAAGTTTCTGTGTTTCTGTGGTTGTTTGTCTCTTAGTAGAAGTCCATTTTTGGATCACACACAAGAGTCCTGTTGTGTTTTGGAAGCATTTCCCATCTTTCTTGTCCATCCATCACAGTCATAAATTAGTTTTGACTACATGGAAATACAGAATGAATCCTGTGGCTATTTGCTTTTATGCTCTTTGATAAAACACAGCTTACTAACTAGGTCTCCGTATCACTGTAGACATACTGTATCTGATATTGTTAAAATCACAAGCCCAGATTCAGCAAGCATAATAGTTGTTCCCGAACAATTTCACACAAACAGAGACAAAGAGGGTATATCTAACGCGATGAGATGAAGAACATTGCTTGGGACACTGCTGTAAATATGCTTGTATCACTGACGATTTTGAAAGACTCGCAGTAATTTCTGTTAATAATCTGTGATTTCTTTATCTGAGAGAAACGCGTCGACTTGGAAGGAACAACAGAGGCCCTTTGCTTTAACGTTTTTAACTCCTAGTGGTTTGAAAATTGACAGATGTTTCTATGATTTGTTAAAAAAAGGCGGAGGCCTTGGCCTTAAATTTTTCATTTTTTCACCCTTGGGTTTTTTTTTTTATTAACTTTTTTTTTTCCCAATTTTTTTTTTTTTTCATTTTTTTTTCTTATGTAGTATGATGTATGATGTTTACTTATGATCCTGCCACAGCACTTGAGGCAGGTTGAGGTGTGTACTTTGAGCCATTGTGGCACCTCGAATCTTTTCATTTTCAGCCATTCTGTTGTAGATTTGTTGCTGTGATTGGGACCATTGTTTTCCTGCATGACTCAATTTTGTTCAAGGTTTAGCTGTAACATAGATGGCCTCACATTTGACTGTGGTACACGGAGGAGTACCACCACATGGTCTGCTTGGTGCCCGCAGTGATAAGGTGCCAGATCATCACTCTTCCATCACAGTGCTTGGCAGTTAGTGTAGTGCTCGTGCTGATATGCTGGCTTTGGTTTTGTTTGGAAATGGCCTATATGCCTTCTCAGATTGATGGGCAGCAACAGATGCTCCTCTAAGATCATTGCTGATATCTTTCTACAAATTGTCAAAATTTCTGCTTTTGTAGCAGTGTTCACACTAATCAATTTAATTTGATTAGCAGTTTGATTATGATTTTTTTACTCTCAACTCCTATGGCAGCAGTAAACATATACTCATGAAGTGGGATTTTTTTTTTTTTTGATTTTTTAAAAAAAAATTTTTTATTGTGGTGGAAGCAAAACGGCAAAAGTAAGAGCGAGTCCTTGACGATGTTTATGTGAAGCTTAGTTTGGACCTTCTTTTGCTGCTGGTTCGGTCAATATTGTTCCGAGAGAGATAAAACTAACAGCTTTTAGAATCAGCGCAAAAGGGGCGTAAACACAAAGCGCGGACCCGCCAAAAATCAGAATCAGCGAGCTGTCGGCTTTCAGCCCCGACCGTGTCCGTGCCGTCGGGTGAGAAAGGCGACATCTCTCTGATTCTGATCCGCGGTCTGCGCTTTGTGTTTACCTCTTTGTGCAGAAGCCGTGTACCTGCTCTCATTTACTGTTTTAAATGTTTGGTGGTTGTCAAAATTTTGTGAGCTGAGATTCTGGAATTTTGGGCAAAATACATTTATATAAAAAATCGATTCAAGATTTTAATGAATCGATATCACGTTATCCAAGCCAGAATCGATTTTAATCGATGAATCTATTATTAAAACCCACCCCTACTCACAAGGATGCATATGACATTCTTTAAGTACAGGGAACTTTCTGAGATCTACTCTCGAAAAAAATTATATTTCTCACTTATCTGTGTATTTTATATATTTAATTATTTTTATAAAGTCGTTATAGAGATTTTGTTCCGTCTGTCTGATAAGACACTGTCTTAGCGGTGACCAATCAAAATGTGCCCTTTTTAATTTTATTTGATTCTGATTGGTTGATGTAGCATACACCCGCCTATTAGTTATGTAGTATACGTAATCGCTTGTCAAAAGCAAGACCACGGCTGGGTGTCGTATCTGAAACTTCTGCAAAGATGGTGCTGAAAGCTGTTTGCGTTTTGAAGGGAACTAGCGACACTAGTGGGACAGTTTATTTTGAACAGGAGGTAAGACGGGCTATTCTTCTTTGAAGTTGAGAGAAAAAAACGTCCCACAAACTACGCATTTAGCCTTTTAAAAGCGAAACGCTACCGTTATCGCTGACGGCTAAGCTAGCCAAGTTCAGCTCTTAGCTTGTCTAATGGTTAGTTTGCTGTTGGCTTGCTAGCTAGGTACGCGTTAGCTTGTGAATGACAGCTCGTGCACAAGTGGGTTTTCTTGCAGTCTGGTCTCATATTCAACGCCACCCCGTTGCTAATTAACCTCAGTTTACTCTGCACTTCAACGTAGGTTGCTTGTGTAAACCACGCATTTAGCAGGATATATGAAATCACTGGCTTGTCACTATAGCAGTAACCTTTGGCCACTAAAGCCTGTGCAGTGGTAATGGTTAAAGGTGTGTTTTTTAAGGGCCACCCAGGCTGTTTGTATAAGAAAGACGCTTGTTGCGTAAATTTAACGTTTGCAGGGCCAGTATAAAACAGACGGCCAGATGTGGTTTCATTAACCAGGCAAGCACTTCTGCATGTAATGCTTTTGCTGTAACTCCGAAACAGCCGGCAAAATGCTTCGGTATTATTGTGATCCGTCGAAACGAGCAAACGCGAATTTGCTCGTTATTTTTTGCCGAGTCATTGCCTGTCCTTGTTTTCGTTGCCTTTCGTTTATTTGGCCTTCTTGATAAGGGTAAAGTGCACGGTGCAACCGTCAAAGACACATGGTCCACTATCAAAGAGACGGACTCATTCACATCAAAGCAAACTTTGTGTGTAAATTACAGTGTATATGTAATATTTGTAACCAATCATTTGAATTCAGTTCAGTGCATTTTAAAAATTTTAGATCACCAAATCACAACAGTTGCCTTAAGGTGCTTGGAGGTTTAAAGGTAGTTTTCTAAGAGATTTCCTGCTGTGTAGACGTGATGAATGATCACCTGTCCTTTTCCATAGAAAATGCTTTGCACCCTCCAGTAATAACTTTCAGAAAGCATGATTGTGCAGTTTAAACTAACCGTACCATGCCTTAAAACAAACTTATTGAACATTACTGTTGTTGTAGTTCGATTTAATAAGATCTTTTAGGTTTATATTTGAGAGTATGCCTTTTGTAGTATATCTGAAAGGTCTGTTAATTTTTTGGCACCAAATCCTACAGCCCGGTTTTGTTTTTCCTCTCCTTACCTGATTATAAGGAATGATTACTTCCGTTCAACAGCATGAATGGAAGTAATCTTCATTCAATATTCCTGTCCTTCTAGCCACCTGGCTTAGAGAGCTTCTTTTGTATTTGTGTTTTTGATCTGCTAGAATGACTCAGCCCCTGTGAAGCTGACAGGAGAAATCAAAGGCCTTACCCCTGGTGAGCATGGTTTCCATGTCCATGTTTTTGGAGATAACACAAACGGTAAGTTTCTGTGTGTGAGAGATTCAAATCCAAAGAGACTTGGATTTCTTAATTTTCAGAATTTGATAATGTTACTGCATCACCTAGGTTAGGTAATCCAGACTAAATTTGCAATAGTTCAATATGTTTAATATATATTTTCTTTCCCAGGGTGCATTAGTGCAGGTCCACACTTCAATCCCTACAGCAAGAATCATGCTGGACCTAATGATGCGGAAAGGTGAGTCGAGTCTGAAGAAAAAGTATCAATATAAAAAGTTAATATATTGCATATCAGTAGTAATGTTACGTCTGACACTGAAGTCCCAAGGCCCGTGTTAAGCAAAGTGGGTGTGTCCAAATGAAACCTTTGTCTAGGCCTGTATTCTTTAGAATATCACGTGGCCACTTGCCTGACTGCCTTGTTATGTGATTCGAGCTGTTAAAAAGACGTGGGAGTTAATTTTTTTTCATGAACTGGATCTGAGGTCATTCTGAGGATCATCACGAAGTTACAAGGAGATTTATGCACATTATGGATCAACAAAAAGGCCAAAAAAATATCAGCAGTTAGGGAGGATTTTAACATGATACCTCCCAGTAATAACATATCTTTTCAAATCAATCTCTGAGATATATATTACGTTTACATATTCACTGGTATGTAGCACACATGTATTATCACAACAGAGCTGCTGTACATTGAATGACCAGTAAATGTCAGTACTTTCAAATGAGCTTCTTGTGATTTGCCTTCTGGTGAAGCAATTGGCCAGAAAGATTCAACACATTCACAGGGCTTCATTGCACCATCACTACTTCTCAGCAGCGGCTACAATAAGAGGTAATATAAATGGTTACAAAGGACTGAAAGATTCAGTAGGGTGCTTTAAAAATAAGCTTCAGATCATGTCAAGAGGGGCCCTGTTGTGATATGGCTGTGTCATTTTAAGGAAGACCAAAAATAGCCTTGGATTACTTATCATTCAGTTAACTCAAAGTTGCAAATTGTTTGCTTGAATAGATTGATTCTCATATAGAAATGGCCCAGGTGAGTTTG